TAAGTATGGACGCAAGTAATCATAGAGGCGGAAGCAAGCGATGCTTATTACGCTAAACAGCATCTAGGGTTCAGGTTAGGGGACAGCATGTCAGTCCAGTGTGTTACCAGTCCAATCCAAGTGCTTCTGCTAATCTGATTCAGTGTCGGAGGGTGGAGTGGGCCGAACACCCCGGACATGTGGTCGTTCTGTCGTGGGGCGAGCTAGGGTCACCAGTTAACCCAACCCCGCTAACTGAATGTGTTTGGATGGTAGGAAGCTGCTGAAAGGCGACCGCCGTCCTAACAGGCCGATCAAATAAACAACAAAAAAAGAAAGAAATGACTTTTTTAACTTTGTTATATTAGAACCAAGTTTAAGTTTATATCGACTGATACTGATTAAGGAGGATCCAGAAGGCCACATCAGTGTCTGTGTAAACCTTTGAATGATCATTTCCATTGTTTTAAGCCTGAGTGAATATTTTTTAATTGTTTATTAGAATTTATTAGAAACATTTTTCTCCATTGATGAATTGTTTGCATGCTAACGTTTTTGTTTCACAAATACTGTCTATGCATTTTTTATTTATTGGTCAATCTGATGTCAGCAGAGCTGTTTTGTAAATGTAGGAGGCCTTGAGGATTTGATGGGTCAGGAATAGTTTACCATGTGGCTGAAACTGAAATGAACTCTGATGCTGCGCTGACGGCTTCACTGATTTGGTGGATGTCAAGAAGTTAAGTGAGATTTAACTTAAAGTGAAGGAAATCAGGGTTAATAATAGTGACGTGTGTTGTTGTGCTTCCAGGACTACCTGACCGACCTGATCACGGCAGAGTCGATCCGATACTTCCGCTCTTCAAAGCGACTTTATCCTCACCGCCCTGTCCTGATGGTTCTGAGTCACGCGGCCCCTCATGGACCCGAAGACTCTGCCCCGCAGTACAGCACCGCCTTCCCCAACGCATCGCAGCACATGTAGGCCTCCCACAGACACACACAGTTACCTTTTCCTCGACTTGCATTCGTTTCCTAGAGAATTATCCTAAAAAATAAACCTGCCGTCATGCAAAACGTCATGATTTACATTGTAAGGACTTCATTTTTGTCCCCATAAGGAAGTAGAGTCCCCACAGTGCGACTGTGGAAACACATTTATGTCCTCACAAAAGTAGTAATGCAAGTGCACACACGCATGCACACATACAATGAGACTAAGCCACTGTAATCCAGCAGAACAATGGAGCAGCTCTGTTCTGCACCACGGGATAAATCCTGAAGCAACACGACTGAAACGGCACAATCCTCCCTAACACATGTGTGTGTGTGTGTGTGCGTGTGTGTGTTAATGAATACATTAGTTTTATTTACTCTCTTTACATGAATTTGAGTCCAATTTTAGCGAACATGACAAAGTCCACGCGCGAGTCTCGCATCAGAGTTTCCTTGTTTATGACCTGACTGGGAGACGGCTGAGCAGACGGAGACATCACACTGAAATCTTTTTCATCCCGCAGATATAAACAGATGCCCGAGGAAACTCCGGCTGGACTCCTGCTGCCAGGAGACCATTTAAATCCCATTTAAAGCTCACAGGGATTTTTATGCAGGTTTTTCTATTCCTGTAACACAAAAACGCTGCTGGAAGTACTCGGAGCAGACAGTAATCCCTTTCCTCTGACAGTCAGTGCATAACTCGACGCTCATACGCCGGGATGATCAGCGTTTGACAGTTTTGTCTTTGTGCACAAAGAACAAAAATGCAGCACAGGCGCAGAGTTGCTTCTCCTTTTATTATTCAGTATGAGTTAGAAAGCAGGAAACCAGCAGCAGTTGCAAAGTCTAATTTAAACCTTATTGACGGGACCGAACGATGGCTGATTAAGGAAACGTGTGGTGCTGCAGACTTTAATGAAAGCGGAGACCTGTTGTGTTGTCAGATTCTGAAGAAAAGGCTGCAGCTTCTCCCCGAAGTAATAAACAGCCGTGCATTCAGCTTTAGTCTCGTAAATAAAGACAAAATGAAGCAGAAGGAAAGAAAACCTTTTTACCTTTCTGCTCTGAAACAGTTGCAGAGGCTGCGCGTCGAGTTGGTTTGACTGAGCGCTGAAGACAGCGGTGGGAACGTAGATGCTAAAACCATTTTGTTGTACGGGCCTGTAAACCTCTGTGTGGATTGACTCACTTTGGGACACGGTCTCATTGCCGATTAGAGGAAATGCATTTCTGTGTTGGCTTCATTTCATTTCTCAACACCTCAAACGAATCCAAAGCCAACCGCCGGCTCCATACTGGACCAGAACCAGCAGAC